GCCTTCGGGCGCATTTAGCCAGTGCTGGAACTCTTAAATCTCCCCACCAGAACTCCCGGATTTAGTTTTTTCCACACGTGTTGATGTCTGCGTGGATGCAGCCTCTGCACACACTGATGTTTACATATCTGCAGCACAAAACGGAGGCGAAACTGAAGTGCGAAGCCATAACTGAGGGGGCTGCTCCCTCTGCTGACAGCGGCCGTGTGGCTCCGCTCCCCTAACGATGCGCTTTCGTTTTCAGAAGCGGTTTCTGCAGCAAATAAGGTTCCTGCGTTACATTAGGGCTTTACATTAACCTTTGTAGTAATTTCAGGCCAACTGTGTGACCTGCTGTGACCTGAGCTGGCACTGCAAGGGGAGGCTGTTTCAGTGTATATTCAGGAGCTCCTTTTTTTTGATACTTCTAAAAGGAGGTGTTAACAGTAGTGGGTAGCCCACTGCTGCGTGCTTTTTCTCCTGCAGGCATGTTGGCCTTTCCGAAGGGCATGTGACATGCTACCAAAAGAAGTTTTCCACTTCTATGCAGTTGAATGTGATTCCTTAACTCGGAAATCAAGGCAGACTGTTGGTTTCTGTGCCTGCAGAATTGAACCTCGGGTAATGATGTAACAGACAAAGCAGGGAGTTTAGGCTCAGTTCAGGCAGAGACCAGGGGAAGGTTCTGCTGTCTCAGCAATGCAGGTAATGCTCTTTGAGATGCCTTCAGGGGCCGGAGGCATCTGGGTGATGTTGGCAAGCATGACACAGCATGTAGGGAAGGTCTTCAGGTTCTTGAGTAGCAGGTGAAAGGCCAGGCAGTGTGGGGTAGGGCATCTCTGCCAGTGTGAAATGCTGTTGTTTAGGTAGCTGAGTCACTCCTCATCTGTCCCTTGCTCTGTTGTTCCATTCAGAGGTTATAAAAGGATGGCAAGTAGTGATTCAACTTTAGTTTCTGAGCCAATTTCTCAAATACTGTGCCATGACTTCCTGGCTTTTGCCTGGAGAATGTGGGAGTTTGTGAGGGCCTGACTAAAGGCCTGACTGAACTCAGAGTTGCTTTCCCCTGAGATCTGATGGGGTCTTGCAGAATGCAGAGGTGTAGGTGTTATGGGGAGAGGACTGAGCCTTTCAGTTCGGTATCCTTCTGGCTGGGTCTGTTCTGCACAGGCTACATGAAAGTTGACTGGTATGGGTGATGTACATAGCCTCCATGTTTTTCCTTTGAACAGATTTGCATGGGTCCAGAGATTAAACCCATCCCGTGTTTTAACTTTTTTTTTTTTTCTGTAACCTCACCTCACAAAATCAAAGATGTGTTTCTCTTGTACTTTCCTGTGAAGTAGGTTGATACTACTTGTCCCCTTTCCAGAGGAGAAGAACCTCTACCTGGGTGGTCTGTAAAGCTATTGGTCTCTCTTTGCTTGTGCATGGCAAATAAAGTTGGGCAGGCTAAGCATTTTTGACCATTTTTGACAGCTTGGTCATGGTAAGCTTGCTGAACGAGCTTCCAAATCAGCTGAATCCTGATAAGTGTAACCCATTAAATGCACTTAGGGAAATGTACTTGATGTAAATTTTTCATGAGACTTCCCCCCGCCAGGGGGGGAACCTTTGCTTCCATTTATCTTTTGTTGTTTTTCTGTGTTTCACAGTGCTTTTCTTTGTCTAAGAAAATTTGAGATTTCTTGAGTGTTATTTAAGTAATGAAGGTTAGGGGGACCATTGTTGTTTGTGTGTTTAACCCTAGTTGGAGATTAAGTGAAGAATCCTCAATAAGAAAACTATTTTAAACCAATTGTCTTTAGAAGCAAGTGTGGGTTTGTCAAAGAATGACCTGTGGACTGTGGGCACATCTGCCATCAAGAAGGGAAAACGATTATTTAAGAAAGTACCAAAAGTTTCAGGAAGGGAAGAGAGAAAGCAAGGAAAGGAAGAGCAAGAGTAGGAGGAAGAACAAACAAATGGTAAGGCATGGCAAAAGAGTAGGTCTTCTTTGGCAGCATTTGTTCTGCTCCTTTTTGGAGGATTAGAATCTGTTATTAGCACTGGGTGCTTCTGTCATCCTTGTTCTCTGCAGCACTTACAGGGAATACATTCAGCTCCTGTGCAACCCTTCAATATTTTTATAAGAATTTTACTAGCATATTTGCATTTGCATAAAATATTTGCTAAGTCATTCAATACAAAGTTGCATCATATATTACTATTTTTTTTAGCTTTACAGTTTTCCTGTGGTACACTGTCATATTATCATGATTGTGTCTGCAGTTTATTGGGAAGCAACTACACAGTCTTGCAAGCCAGAAGGTATGCAAGCGGATGACCGACTGTTGGAGCAGTTGGCATATTTAAATAAGTGATTGGCATAGTTGGTTTTTTTCCTTTTCTTAAAAAAAGCAGAAACAAATACATTTTTTGAGGTGAAGAGAAGGAAGAGGGATTGTTATCAGACCAATGATAATAAAAGAATGGAAAAGGACAGTCAACTGCAGTTAGATTGTCCACCTGTATTGTTAGGAGGATTTTTGGGAGAGAAGAAAACCCTGAAATATGGATAAGGAATTATGCTATAGGGAGACAAAAAGAGAAAGGCACAGTCTAGCCACATCAGTGTCTGGGAGCTTTGTCTTCAGTGAGGTCTGGACTCTTCCCTTGGGTTTGAAGGAAGTGGGAAGAGAGAAAGGAAAAGAAAGTAGGCTCGGAGGGTTGTAGGAAGGTACTCTATGATCTCAATGTGGTGGTAGACCAGAAGTGGCAAAAGATGTAACAAAACCTGGAGAAGGTCAGTGAATGAGTTGCCCTTAAGTAACTTGCTGGTAGGTAAATGCTGTGTTGCCACTAAATTCAATAGTTATTATAGTTACACAGTTTTCCATTCCTTCTCATGACAGGGATATGATCTGTGTGAGGTTTGGCCTGGGGAGATGTGTAAAATGAGGTGTGGAGCATCCTGGTTGCTTGTTCTTGGACATCTAAGTATCGAACAGATTTTTCTACTCTCAAAAAAAGTGGTTTTTGCCAAATATCATATTCACTTGAAAGTGGAAATTATTAGGAAAAAAGAGCCAAATGGGAACAGTTCACCTCCAACTCAAGCATTTCATGAGACATGAATAACTTAGAAGCTAAGACAATACAAATCTCATTTCCATGTGTATTTTTTCTCTTGTCCTGCTCTGAAGAGGCTGCAGAGAGAAAGAAATTATCAGAAACTACTGTGTGAAAACAGGATGGGCAGGCAGGTTAAAAACTGCAAATGGATGTAGTGATGTTGTGAATAAAGGAGTGAAGGGGAAAAATTGGAAAATGAAATCTAACATCATGACAGTCTCTATATAGCTTTATTTTTGTGAGGGATCCTCTTAATAAAAGAGTTAAATAACAAAACTTCAGAGGTGGGGAAAAAATTTGGGAGTGATCTCCTTAATAAAAGAGTTTCATAAGGAAACTTCAGAGATGGGGTCAACAGTGCTATTGACTGGTGAAGAATATACTTTGCAGATTCAGTTTTGTCAGCCCTAAATAATTCCTAAAATCTGGAATATCTAAAGTCCTATTACTGTCCTAGGGCTGACATATGAGTTCGGGAGGCTATCTCTCTAGACTAGTCTGAAGCATTTAATTTTTCAAGCGGGACACTTACTATGTGTTGTTATTTCTGCTTCCCAGATCACCAGCGTGGAAGTTGAAACGAGTGAAGGTCATTTGAAAGTCCATAAAATGAAGAAGAAGGTATTGAGGAAGCAGGTCAGAGCTCAGCATACATTGATGAGACATGAGGGCATTGAGTGCATCTCCCATGCCACACAGGTGACTGCTAGTTCTGATTTTGATAGTAGTGTGAAAATGCTGCTTATCTGTGTTCTGTTCTCACATATGCTTTGTTTAAAATGCAGTTCTCCTCCAAAAGGCACTTCCTGAGTTTGAGGGTTTTCTGTCCCTCTTTGATTTCAAAGTGGAATTGTACTTCAGCAGTTTAATATCTGTGGAGAGACTTTGGTAGCCTTTGGATAAGTTTGTTTTTTAATCCGAAACAGTAATTCCTTGGGTGGGAGAGGAGGAGGAAGCATGGGAAGGGTTACCCTGTTGAAGTGGATAAAATTCTCTTTCTCTGTGTGATTTCTTTTCTTTTCTGGCTTTTAGCTTTTGTGTCTGTCTTTCCTCTGTACTTCTCTATCAAGTAGGATTTGTCTTGTCTAAACTCCCTGTTAAAAACATGTCTATCTTAGAAATCTTTTCCACGTTCTTTTCTTTATGTAAATTAATTTAGGTTGTGGTTCTGTGGGAGTTGAACTGATTGACTGACTTGCAGCTGTTGAAAAGAGGACAACTTCTCTTCCCTTGCACAAAAGGGGACAAGATAGGAGGGAATTCTGCTTTCTTATGATGCTCAGTGAACTTTACCATAAGCCATTTTATTTCCTAACCTATCAGAAAACCAGTCTGCTTTTTAATTTGTAATTTTCTGCCATAGTAGAGTCCCAGCAGATCAGAGGGTGATCTTGCAGATACTGGTGTAGCAAAAAGCAAGTGACAGGAACTTGCAGACAGAAAGGGAAGAAGTTAGAGAGAGAGTATAATTTCCCTCCATCAGTTGCAAGGAGATGCTATGACATGAAACACTGTAGAGCAGTATCATTTACTCTAACCTTGTTCATCTTGATCCTGCAAATTCTCCCCATTCAGTTAAATTTTTATACTTTTTCGGTAATCAAATAATAAAATTTGGCTTAGTCTTCACTTAGATTTCACACCACGCGGATGTATACTAAAACAACCCAGCAATCTTGTATATATTGTAAGCTCTTTGGGGAAGGGACCGTGTTTTTCTAGTGTTGCTTGGAAACGGGTCTGTAATCTGGGACTTGTTCCCCTCGACACTGCCCCAGATACCAAGTTAACCATCTAATCTATCCAAAGAGTAATTTTGGGGTCCAGCAAGGTCCTCATCGATGATGGGACATTTGAATAAGTGATGTAGGAAACAAAATCATAGTACTAGTGATAAACTTTTGTCGTGATAAACTTTTGTCAAGAATACAGAAAATGCTTCCAGGCTTTGTTCAAGAGTCTGATTATGTTGAAATTGCTCAGTCAGGAGAACACGATCAGTTGCTGTAGGTGCTGCTGTTGTGTAGTGACGGTCTTTGTAGATGGAGTGCCTACAGCCAGTGAAAGCACTGGTTTGAGTCTCTGCATTTCCTCTACGCACATGGGCCTCTCCATTAATGACATTCTAGAAAATAACAATAATTAATAATGTTGTTTGGAAAATGTGATCAGTAATGGCCAGTGCTGATGCAGTGCTAAGAACAAGTGTCAGCAGCGCCATCACAATAGGCATCATCACAGCACTGCTCACTACTATATAATTTATTTTTTTTTAGTAATTCTTCTCTTCAGTTTTAAACCTAATTTTCTGTCTTTTAGAGAAGTGAAATGCTATCATTTGTAACAATTGAACACTTTACCAACTGCCTTTAGAAGAGGTCATAGAACACTTACAGACTCCGAGGAAAAGATTATGTGAAAGCTTTCTGGAAAGGTATTACGTGGAGTCAGTCTGAGTAAGTGGTTGCTAGCTGTTCGGAGTCACTGGAGCTCAGTCAGAACTTCAAGACTGCATCCTCATTTGGCCTTAAAAAAAGACTTACACTTCTTTCAACCACCATGATTAGATTGAACATCCAGTTATAGTATATAGCTATTTAGATGTCAAAAGAACTTGTTAATTTATTTTGAAAAGGCCTGTGTGCTTTCAAAGGATATTTTTTGAATAATAGCCCTTTGAAAAGTTCTGTTTTGTTGTTTCTTCTAATATCTGGCAGACCAACAACAGCCCTCATAACCTGCATACTCCTTAATAATTTTGGACATAAATCACTATGAAAGCATAGAATTAAGCAATTAGGCATTGTGCCTGAAGTAATCTGTTAATTGAGGATGGGACATAAATCCCTTTTGTTTATAAAAAACAAGAGGGAGAATTTTCAGGTAAGAGTGCTGGAGCAGAACTAGATGCTCTGTTTCTAGAGGCTGCTGCTTTTTTTTTTTTTCATGAACCTGATGTATGGGGGACATGAGGTGGGACTGGGAATATCAGTCTCTTTATGCTTGGAGAGACTTCTTGGCAGAGATGAGAAAACCATCTTAAAAAAATAATAAATCACAGTCTTCAAAGTTTTTCTGTTTGTTTTTGTTAGTGGTAACAGGTTTCTGGAAAAATTCCATTTTAGAAACCTCCAAAATTCTGTGTGCCAGTGTCACTGTTTACCTGCAGTACACTTGATGCACACATGCCTGTTTGAAGCTTAAGTACTCTTGTAGTAGTAACTACATGCATTAATTGAGGAGGCATCTCTGATAGAGGCTACAAACGTTTCTGTGAGAATATGTGCTGGGCAAACAAATGTTGCCGTAGCCTCATGTACCAAGCTCCTTGAAATGTGAGTGTCTTGTGGGGAATACTCCTGGGCTTACTTAATTTTTCTTTACAGAGCTGCTCTCTTGGTGGAGTGTTAGTTTTAAATAAATAAATAATAATCACTAATTCTCAATATTTATTTTTTTTAATTGCTCTTCAATTAGTGTCTGGTTATTGCCAATGCTGGTCTGGGCAATGGGATGAGTAGACACCAACTGCTCAGGATTGTAGAAGAATATGGATTGGTGGAAACACTCTTAATGCCACCGAATAAACCGTATTCATTTGTGAAATATGGGACAACAGAAGAAGCCAAGAAAGCCTTTGATGCCCTTAATGGAAAACAAGTAACACTGGAAGACTTTGGCCAAAACATTGTTCTATATATTAATTTTGTGGAAAAAGGTATGATTTTTCTGCTCACCTATATATCCACCTTCCTGCATACTGCATCCCTTCGCTTTTACTTCCTAGGTTGTAAATACAGCTGAAAGCACACTAGTCTTTGTAAGCAGACACAGAATGAAGGCCAGAATCGAAGATTCAGGACATAAAATAATCTTTGCACCTTGTATTTCATGATGGGAAACTCTAATTTGAACTCCTTTACTTGGAGGCAAAGGAAAAAGGACTTTAGGTAGTTTCCAGACATTCAATACTGCACATGAAGGTTTTGTGGTAAGGGAGCTAAATTGGGACCCAGGAGATACCTGGACAGTTCGTAGGATTTCTTGAATGACCTTGGTCTTGCGATCTCTATCTCAACTCCAAGAAGGAAAATAGGCACAATAAGATTTCTGTGGCTGGTTGTTTCAGGGTTTTTGTTTTGTTTTGTGGGGTTTTTTGTTTGTTTTTTTTTCCAGCCTCTTCTCTCCAGGCTTTTGTTATGGCTGACTATAAACTATTTAGGACAAGAACTGTTGCTTTTTCTATGAGCTTTTATAGTGGCCAGTGAAAAGGATTCCTAGTGTTCGTCTGTACATTCTGCCAGCAAATAGCTTTTTAAGCTGTTGGGATAGCAAACTGAACATCCCTACATGACCAACACTTTATGTTCACCCAGGTGTTGCATCATACTCCTCCATATTTGATTACAGATTGCCTCTCTGGACAGAGTGTGGTCTTGTGATTTGGTAAATCACTAAAGTTCTAGAAAATTAAAATGAAATGTAGGTGGAATCCTGAAGTGATTGGGAAATTCTTTTTCCATTATTTTGACAGGAAGATCACAAGTGGTTTTGTGTTTGGATAGTGTGGAGTTGTGTTGGTCTTATGCAGTAAAATTTAGGAAGTGCTTTGCATGATGCATAATTTGGGTCTTACCATGTTCTGTCATACCAAAAAGGCATCATTCATTCACCACATAAGACCCCAGTAAGGGCTCCATTGTATCAATAAAGTCAATATTTCTACAGCTATACTAAATTCCCATACATAGTAAATATCCTTATAGGGAGCACATGGTTTTCTTTTCCCTAAACAGTGACAATGTTATATTTTTCCATATACCCTAGTCTTCTGGCAGAATGCTGTTCCTGCAAGCTTGCCTCCAGGCCTAATGATCATTGAAAAGATTGTTTCTCCAGAGGAAGAAAGGAGGATGTTGGAAAGTATTGACTGGATAGAAGATGAAGGTACTCAGAATGGTGGGCAAAACCACAGAAATCCAGACTTTCCATACTTTTATGCTCTTTTTTTTCCCCCACAGGTTGAGTTTACAAGAAGTATGCATCTTGATAAATGTGTTGTTTGAAATCATTGTTTATTTCTTCTTAGTATTTTAGAAATTGTGTCTTATGTTGCAAGTGTTAAACTCCTGGGGGCAAGCAGTCTGAACTGATATTCTGGCATGGATTTGCTTGACTAGTATTCCTGCATCCAGAAGCAACTAAAGTCTTTTGTAGGTGTCTTATGCCAAGCACAAGACTGGTTGTAATTTGATGTCCAACTGAGGAGCTGTGTCTTCTCTTAAGTTAAAAGAAGTCAGTGAGGCACATTCTGGATGCTTTTGTGCTTTCATTTGAGCTCTGTGGAGTTACATCTCTTAATAAATGAATTGTTCTTGGAATTCAATTCAAGGTTTCTGTAAATTTTGTTCCTTGGAACAACACAAAGGGTTATATTGACCTTAGCTAACATGTTACTTGGTGAATGGGTGAAAGTGAAGGATCCTGCTGTTTCCATAGGATATTAATCAAGTGCAGGTTCAGAGAACAGGGCGAGAGTAAAGTTGCATTAAACATGGCTCAGGGAGATTGGAGCTGTCTGCTTCGTGCATGTGTGAAAACACCATCAGTTTGACTTCAGACAGCAGTGAATGTGATGCTTGATGAAATACAGAAGGTAATAAGGCAGAAGTGTGTGTGCCATGAAGAACAAGAGTCACATACATTGTTTCAGCTGTTAATTAAAGAATCTTTAGATTTAACAGGTCGGATGGAATAGGGAGGAATAGTGAATTGCTTAGTCTAATCTTACTTTAAACTTGTTTTTACAGCCCAGAAGACTTTAAAGCATAGAAGAGTAAAACATTACGGGTATGAGTTTTGCTATGATAACAACAATGTTGATAAAGACAAACCTTTACCTGGAGGTGAGAGCTTTCCTATTAAATCATACTTATTTCACACTGATGTTTGAACCATCATGTAAAGCTTTAAGCTTCACTGAGATAGGGATGTGAGATTCTGATCAAAGGAGAGGTGAGATTCTAATAAAAGGAGAGCCTTCACTGTATCTTAAGCACACACTGAACATGGTGTGTGGGATCCATTCCAAATTACTGTGAGAGCTTGAAGCTTGATTTCCAATCTTGCAGCCAGGGTTTGCTGCCCTTTATTGAGGTCCAGTCAGATAAGGCTTTGGGGATTGTAATTGTCATTCTTTTTTAGCTTTTGTTTCATAAAAAAATATGTTACAAATTACATATTCATTTGTTTGGGAGTTGTGACGTGTATTGCTGTGTATATTTATCTTGACCAGCTTGAAGCTTGCTGGATGCACACCAAAATAAAATTTCCTTTGGACTGAAAGCAATTTTGAAAAGGTTTGAATAACTCTTATGTGGAGTTGAGAGCTGTGAGTTAGAGCTAAGCAAGTGAGTCATCTTATAGTCTTGGATTTAAAAATAGTAAAATAGAGGAGTTAAATTCCTATGAAACTTGAAGATGTTTAAGGTGATGCATGGGTACGAGGGTGGCTGTAGCTTCCAACAGAAGGATTCTGTTACATTGTGGTTTTAACAGTGAAGCTATATAATCAAAAAAGCATTAATATTTCAACTGTTCTCTAGTCTCAGAGCTGGCGTATTTTATGTGTGAAAAAAGCATAAACACTTCCTTGGGGGAGAACAATTAAAATATAAAAATCAATTGATTTGTGAAAGGGCTGTTACTAACATCTTTGTGGGTGTTACCTGCAACAGAATTTTCCAATGAAGTCCTCAGGTAAAATAGCAACCAAAGATTCAGTGAAGGACTGAACCTTCCCTCCTGTTTCAAAACCAGTTTAATTTCAGCAGATTTTTTTGGTGATATTTAAACTAATTCAGTGACAGATTTTTAAGGGGTAAATTTTTTAGAGAGCTCTCTGCACAACTTCTGACTTCCTGCCTAATAATTTTGCTTCTTGACTGCAACTTTTTTAGCATAGTTTGTGGAAACTTTGTCTTTGATTTGATATGCTTCTATTCATGTGCAGAGATAGTGCAGTTTGCATTTGTAAGGAGTGGGCCTGATCTGCTTCTGAATGCAGAGGGCTTGAAGGAATGGCCTTTCTAATAGTGAGGTGTTACAAATGCATTGGACTTGCAGATCAGACCCCCAGTTCTGATATATGTGTTACAGCAAATGCAGAGTGATCATTATTAAAGATGGAATCACGTACGTCTGAAGTTGATTCTACATATTTTGTCCAGTTATTATATTTATTGTAAAAAGAAAGGATAAAAATGTTAAAAGCTATCCTGTCTCACTTACAGTTTTGTTTCTGTAACTAGGTCTTCCTGAAATTTGTGACCTGTTCTTGGAGAAGTGCTTGAAGCAGGGATATATCAAACATAAACCTGATCAGCTGACTGTAAATCAGTATGAACCTGGACAAGGTAAGTTTATTTGTCCTTCAAAAATTTTGAGCTCTTTACCTTACATTATGGTTTAACTCTGGTAGGCAACTAAGCACCACACAGCCACTCACTCCCCCTCATTGAGACAGGGGTGAGAATCAGAAGGATAAAAGTGAGAAAACTTTGGGTTGTGATAGACAGTTTAATAAGTTTAGAAAAAACCACTACCAACAAAAAAAAACCCCAGAGAAAAATAAGTGATGCAAAAAAACCCCCAAATAATTGCTCATTACCAGCAGACTGATGCCCAGTCAGTCCCTGAGCAATGGCATCCCTGGTAAGCTTCATCCCTAGTTTTATTGCTGAGCATGATGTCATATGGTATGGAACATCCCTTTGGTCAGTTGGGGTCAGCTGTCCCAGCTGTGTCCCCTCCCAGCTTCTTGTGCACCCTAAGCTGTCTTGCTGGCAGGGAAGCATGAGGCTCAGAAAAGGCCTTGACTCTGTGTAAGCACTGCTCAGCAATAACTAAAACATCTCTGTGTTATCAACGCTATTTTCAGTACAAATCCAAAACATGGCCCCGTACAAGCGACTATGAAGAAAATTGGCTCTATCCCAGCCAAACTAGTACACCTGAACTGAAACCAGAAGAGAACAGCATCTAAATGTGATGTGGTTGTAGGGACAGGGTTTAAACACTGGCTTAGTGTGTTTCCTCTGTGACCAGAGATGCTTTGAATCAAAATTAAAGTCTTCATACTGGTTTCTGAACCTGGGAGCTTGTGTTTAGGAGTATGGTTTTTGATAACACTGCTTTGGAAATTGATGGTGTTTTAGAGTCCATAATGTGGAAACTAACCATTAAAAAATATTGGGATAAATAACCATATTTGGTTTTGTACTCAAGTGCATTTTTTCACTCCAAACTCATTCTTGCTCCCTATACTATGCGTACAGTCTACAGGAAGTGGCTCTTTTTGTTAGTACATATGAAATAATGTTAGTATATGTGATATATGGGCTCTTAAGTATGATGCAAACAGTGTTCTCTTATCTGAGGAATGAGAAATTACTGCATTTCTGTAATCTTTCCCAAACGGGAGACATCAGAAGAGAAATTTGCTTCTAGTCACACCTCTAGGGAATAAATCACGTGCTGTGCTTTTTGCTAAGGTAAACCATCAAGGCTAAACCTGGCTTCCTGTCCAAAGTGGGTATCTCGTTTGTCCTTCGGCAGAAAGGACAACATCTTTTCTTTCAGAATTAGTGTCTGACAGCTAATACAGTGTCTGCCAAACAGGGGTCTGAAAAGCTGATTCTATTTGTTTGTGTATCTGACAGTCTGCTAAATTGGTGCAGTCATGCACTTCTGGCTGGGCCATCAGAGGAGATTAGTTAGAATTGTAGATTTCTATCAAGAATGGAAGTTTTTTAAAAACAAACTCAAAGCACAATACCCTTTCTTAAGTGCAAATTGTTGTGATATGAATGAGCAGAGTGCAGTCAGATTAATACCTTTAGCGTCTGTGTTCTGAGCCAGATTGTCATTGGAAATTACCCTTGACATTTTAAACAGTGACTGATGCATTGGGTGTCTAAGTTGTAGGGGCCACGTTTAAGATACGTTAAATGAATTCCTTTTTGAGAGCACTTTGTTCATTCAGGGTCCTAATAATGTTTCAAGTTGTACATTTGTACTTGAAAGTTGCCATCTACTTTTGAATGCTTAGGTGACTGTCTCTTGCTATGTGCTGCGTATATGGAGTATAAATAGCAGGTAGGTAGGTCAGTCAGTGTGGTCTTGATTGAATTGTCTGGTTGGTGCTGAAAAGAGCAGTCGATGTTCTCCTGTTGCACAGTGAATTGCACTGACTTCAGTGCATATCTGAAAGCAGAGTTTCAGTGCTTTATACTGAGGCAAAGTTATGAGCAAACACAGATATGTGTCCTTGGCTTTCAGGTCGCACTGATTTTCTGTCATTAAACGTTGGCCTCATAAAACACTTGTATTGCTTTCACAGAAACTAATGGAATTCAGAGTATTTGCATCTGGAGGTAAAATCTGGCACATAAGGATGCTTTATAGGGCCAACTGACACTGTTAGGTGAAAATGTTTTCAGCTCAGAAATTTGATAGTGTCCAAAATGAATATGGATAGAGCTTTTAATAAGTAAATACAACTGTTATGGTGTGGATCACATTGGAGTTGCTTTTATCTGTCTGGGCCTGCTATGGTGTCCAAGGAAGGAGTAGTTGCAGTTCTTCCCAGCTGTCTGCTGGCCTTGCTCCACTGCTGGCTACAGCTCCCCACCATGTGGTGAGATCTTGCTGTGGCATGCACACTGCTGTTGCAGCACTCGTGGCAGTTTCTTTACAATTAATAAATCTGAAGGAATGTTAAAAAAAATAAAAATTGCTGTCCCTTTGGCAATTCTCAACTCTGTGTAGTTACTCATACACACACCAACACATGTACTGCCCAGGGGTTAGCCTAGCAATGGTGTGTGGAGCTTTGGGAACTGCAAAGCAGAAGCAGGGTTTGACCCTGACAGTGCCTGCCTTTGGGTAGTAGGTCCTAATTCTGAAGCCAAGACCCTTAGCACTGTCATTTGCTTAGCAACAGAGGGAGTGTTGGGGATGACTCCTTCTCTGTGAAGAGAGTGATGGAGAAATACATGATCATGAATAAAATAAGGCTCAAAATCACCTAACATAGTGTTAACTGTTGTGCCTAAGGGAGAAGCATAGTGATTTCAGGTGCTCTCTGCAGCAAGGAGAGCATTTGAAGACTTCAGAGGATGAGTGAGGCTTTGGGTGCTCTGAACTGTCTTCTAGATATTTCCACTGATTTTACAGGACACTTGGGTTAACTGTGTGCATCTAATCTGGGCATGGAAATCAAACAATTGTCCTCAATTCTTTTGGAAGGAAACTCCCTCCTTTACGATAAGTTTTGTTTGTTCAACTGTACATCCCAGTTTTCTATATGGACATCCATAGAAATAAAGCTTGCTAACAGAGATACCACTCTGGTATTATTATACTGACTTTTTTGTTTTTTTCTTGTGCAGGAATTCCTCCTCATATTGATACACATTCTGCTTTTGAGGATGAAATAATCTCTCTCAGTTTAGGAGCTGAGGTAAATTTAATGTTTGTATGTGTTTTGATGATGCTTTACTGAGAACTTTAAATTTTAGATTGTTTAATACAAGTTAATTTGATTTTCCGTGGTGTCTGTTCACACTCTTCTGAGTTTAATATCAAGCATGTAAGGTAATGTGATATGCTAATTATATAAGTAACTGCAATGAGATGTTGCCACTGGAAGATTTACCAGTGATATCAGTGTTACCCTATTTTTAAATCTTATAATCCAGTTCTCCATCGACCTGCCTTCATTTTGTATTCATCTTAGAAAGTGTGTCACTCCTATTTATGTTTCTACTTCAGTTTTTTCCTATGTCATCCCCTGTTCCCTCTGGTGTGCATAAGCCTCCCATTATTTTTATATTCAGTACATTTACAGTGGGCTGATGTAGATGTATTACATGTGTAGGGTCCAGTCAGAGTCTGAACCCCACAGAGCTAGTCGTGGTGCGGGCAGAGGTAGACTCTGGTTTGCTGAGCTTCTGTCGTACGCAGATGATGTCGATGAAGAGTGGGAAGAGAAATGGAAGAACAGTGGAATAGCACAAAGGCACATAACATATCAAGAGTATGGCTTCATGTGGCTGAAAACAGTCCATATCATCTGGTCTCAGTGCTCTGATTAGTGTCTTTGCTTTTACTCTATTTGGATTCATCTGCTGCATCTGTGCCCATCAATGTTTTACAAATTTAGTGTTACTTTCTCTGCCTTATGCCCTGCTGCAGCAAGTCTTTGCTGCCTGGCCTTCCCATCTTCCTGCACATTTTTTGGGAGTGTATTCAGCATGTCTGCAAGGCCTGCTTCCGTTGCTGTCTTGGGCTTTTTGTGACAGGGGAGTTACATGTATTGTTGTGAGTTCCCATGGTACTGGGTAGCTAGAAACTTAACAAGGCTAAGAACAGGTTATAGCAGTGGGTAATAAAGATTTGACTTTTGAATCTTCCCCTTGAAAAGCTGTGACTGCTGTATGAGAATGGTCTGATCTGCTACTGTCTAGATGACACAGATGTGCACGCTCATAGAGTTGTACCTGTATTACCATTAGCATCCTCCTGTTACAAAACAACAACGTTGATTATTGCTCTTGGTTTGCCCCACTCTTCAGGCAGAGAGGGGAACATGGCTGGATGTTCTGAGCACTGATATTTTTTGAATCTTTAGTCTAGACTCTGGCATCGACTTCCTCTTTTCTTCTTGCAAGTTATGTAGTGGACGTGGAGCTTCTGGGACTAGGGTTGAGTTTAAGGGAGGATAGCTTTTTCATCAGCATGTGTGGCAGTGGCACGTCTGTGTTCTTGGTCGCTTGAAAAGCGGGTGTCAGTGTTGCCAGTTGTCTCAGCCAGGTGATGGAGGTATTTGTCCACCACTCACAAAAGCAGCCACCTGAGTAGGAACGTCTGGGATTAGTTGTGAGGGTGTTACGCACAGTGACAGCAGAGTTCTTACTACTTCTGCTTTGGAATCTCCCAGTCTAGGGGCTACTTCCTCAAGTGGCTTCTTCACTTAGCCTTGTCTCAGAGATGGTGTGTTCTCCTTTATTCAAATGCAATGTTGTCTTCAACAGTGCCAGCACCTCCATGCTAGGTAGCACATGGGAACGTCTGTTTCTTTCATGCAGTTTCTCTAGGAGAAGGACTCTAATTCATCTTCTGTGCAGTTTATCCATAGAATCATAGAATGGTTTGGATTGGAAGGGACCTTAAAGATCATCTAGTTCCAACCCCCCTGCCATCAGCAGGGACACCTTCCACTAGACCAGGTTGCTCAAAACCTCATCCAACCTGGCCTTAAACACCTCCAGGGAGGGGGCATCCACAGCTTCTCTGGGCAACCCATTCCAGTGTCTGACCACCCTCACAGTGAAGAACTTCTTCCTAATATCTAATCTAAACCTCCCCTCTTCCAGTTTAGAGCCATTTCCCCTTGTTTTGTCATTAACTGCCCTTATGAAAAGTCCTTCCCCAGCTTTCTTGTAGGCCCCCTTCAGGTACTGGAAGGTCACTATAAGATCTCCCTGGAGCCTTCTGTTCTCCAGGCTGAAGAGCCCCAACTCTTTTAGCCTGTCCTCCTAGGAGAGGTGCTCCAGCCCTTAGATCATCCTGGTGGCCCTCCCCTGGACTTGTTCTAGCTGCTCCAGGTCTCTTTTGTGATGGGGGATCCATCTTAAGTTTAATTTTTCTTATACACAATGAGCACTCAGAGTAGCACAGCAACAGTGGATGACCCCAACTTACAGCTGTTCCTATGTTGATCTTGTAATATAAAATGAAGTAACTCTTTTAAAAAAACCAAAACTGTATTGATGGTGTGATTTCACGTGTTCTGCCTCAATCTGCAGCCCTGGGCTTTCTTACCCTTTCCATTTCAATTAAAAGGCTGACTCAGGCACAGATGCTCTGTTACCTCATTGCTGAGGCACCATAGGCACTGCATTTCTGGATGATTATATTACAGCACACCTTTGTAATGGTCTTGGAGATGGCCAAAAGCAGAGTGATTTTAATCACCCGAGAAATACAAAACTTTCTGGGAAGTGGGCTGCCTGGAGCATTATGATGCTGTTAAAAATGGGAATGCGTACGTTTCAATCAGGAAACAGCCAGACTTGGGCCATTTCTAGATATTTCAGGCATAGGCATTGGATACAGTCTGTTACATAGCTCCCAAGTTTCAGTGCCTTTTCCTAATGGGTCGTTAGTGCACTTCTCAGGTGCAGACAATCGTTAAGCACACATGTAGTAAAACAAGCCATGAAATGTTGCATTATTTAATGGCTTTTCTTTCTGATAATTTTACAAATTTTTATGATTTCTTTAATGTGTTTTTGTGCACTTAGCTCTTAATCTGATTTAAAAATGTAAATATCAATTGCAGTAATATGTGAGTTAGCTCTTTTAGGAGTGAAGCCCCCTACTGGGCTCCTATTAAAGCTTACCATGTACAAAATTTACACACACTCATAATAAATAATTGGAGCTGCATATGCAGCAAAAAACTTTGGTATCTGTCTCTTCTCTGTATTCTTCTCTCTGCAGTGTGACTACTTCTGTTTTTTTTCACCTGTATAAATTAGGCTGCGATGTAATGGAAAACATACATAAACAAAATTGCATGTCTTGTCCTTTCTTTAGTCTCCTCAACAGTAAATGCACATATAAAAAATGCCATAAAGAAATAACCTTGCAGCCCAGCTGGTTCTGTATCTTATTTCGGAAGGTGGCTAACCAGACACTTCACAGGAGGAAAAGAAAGCAGAATGCCTCATATAGTTTATTCCTATACTAAGTCATGGTAAGAGCTTTTCTTTTAATTATTTGGATACTTGTCCTTCTAGGATCTGAGTTAGGCAGATTGTAGTAACTAGTAACTGAAATAAATTCTTTGGCTTATGAAAAATAAGTCTGTGGCAGAGCATGGGACTAAACACAAGTGCCTTCCTAGCCTAGTGCCTTAGCTATCAGCCTAGGTTCTCAAACTTCTTATATTGTCTTCACAGAAACACAGAATTGTTTAGGTTGGAAGGGAACTCTTGAGATCATCTGGTCCAAGGCACCTGCTTAAACAGGGTCAGCTAAAACAGGTTCTCCAAGACTGTGTTCAGTGGTGTTTCTAATATCTCTGCAGATGCAGACTCCAGAACCTCTCTGGGCAACCTGTTTCAGTGTTTGACCTCTGTCACAGTAAAAAAACCCCCTGTTTTCTTGTGTTCAAGTAGAATCACATGAGTTTTAAATTGTGCCCATTGTCTCTTGTCCTGTTCTTCATTCCACCCCATCAGGTATTTATACACATTGGTAGGGGCCATCTTATCTGAGCCTAAGCCATCTCTTCTCCAAGCTGATCAGTCCTAGCTCTCTCAGTATCTCATTATATAAAGATACTCCTTAATCATCTTCATGGCCCTGTGCTGGACTTGCTCCAGTAAGTCCGTATCTTTCTTGTACTGGGAAGTCCAGTCCCAGTGCTGGACACAATACTCTAGATGCACCCTCCCCAGTGCTGAGTAGAGAGGAAGGATCACCTCCCTTGACCTGCTGGCAGTGCTCTTCCTAGTGTAACCCAGGAGGCTGTTGGCCTCTTTCTGCAAGAGTGCAGTGGTGACTCATGTTCAACTTTCTGTCTGCCAGGACCCCCAGGTCTTTTTTGGCAAAACTGCTTTCTAGCTGATCAGCCCCCGGCGTGTGGTGATGCTGGGGTTGGTTACTCCTGACCAGGTGCAGGACTTTGCACTTCCCTTAGTTGAACTTCATTAGATTCCTGTTGGCACCAGTTGTCCAGCCTACCCAGGCCCCTGTGAATGATGGCACAACCATCCGGTGTATCAGCCGCTCCTCATGGTTTTGTATTGTCTGCAAACTTGCTGAGGGTGCACTCTGCCCCATCATCCAGGCCATTAATTAAGGTGTTTAACAGTGTTAGCCCTGGTATTCACCCCGTGGGTACACCACTAGTGACGTGTATGCAACTGCACTTTGTGCCGTTGCCTCCTTCAGTCACACCTGGCAGCCTAAATCATGCTGGTGAGAATCATTCTCCTCCTCAGTGGCGAAGGAGGCTATCCAGGAACAAAACACTTTGTACTGTTTTGTTAGAGAAGTCACTGTAAGTCTAATTTGTTTCTGTGAACTTGATTTATGTCAAAAAAGGAATAGTTATTGGCGTGTGGCATATATGTTTATTTTGAATACGAACAATCTTGAGAAGAAAATAAAGGCCTGATTCTTCACAACACTGCATTTGCCTTGTGTCAGGTAACCCACAGCAATCCCAGTTCTTATGCTTGTGTGAAATGAGGCGGAAGTGTTCAGCCTTCCAATACCTGAAGGGGCCTACAAGAAAGCTGGGGAAGGACTTTTCATAAGGGCAGTTAATGACAAAACAAGGGGAAAAGGCTTTGAGCTGAATGAGGGCAGGTTTAGATTAGATATTAGGAAGAAGTTCTTCACTGTAAGGGTGGTCAGACACTGGAACAGGTTGCCCAAGGAAGTTGT